TATATCTGACTTCCTTGCTAAGTTCGGAGGACTAAATCCTAGAATAAATGACAGTTAACATCTGCTTAGCTTGAGTAAAGACTGTACTTGGAAGGCTTAATAATCTCTCTCCTTGACTTATTGAAATGCCAAGAATTTATATCAAACTAATTTGCTTAGGCATGCACTTGAGTTGGATTTTTAGAAAATGCTGCTTTTGTTTGAACATCACTATGATTGAGTTTAGAAGGTCATGGCTGAATGAATGAGAAAGGAAGAAGAAAAGGAGAGGGGTTCTCAAATCCTGCTTTGTCTCACTGTCATAAAATATACATGTACATTTAAAAATTAAAACTACATATGCTAGTCACATTTATTCTAATGTCAATTATTGAAAACTTACTGCATCCCCTCTATTCTTGGGAGTACCTAGTTGGGGAGCAAAGACTAGCACAAAGGAACTAACCCAGAGCAAAACTGTAATTCAGCGCTAAGTTGGGTGGTCTGTCATGATGCAGTTGATACTGTGTGGGCTGTGGTAGTCAGGAAAGCTCTGCAGAGAAAATGGGTGCTGTGATTTGATCTGATAAAAGGAAAAAATCATGGATGGGAGAACACAAAAGAAGAAAACAGAAGTAAGAAAGATACAGATGTGGTTCAGTGGGAAGGTTGAGCCAGATTCTGACCCCAGCAGAGGACCTTGTTTGGGAGATAAGAAAAATGAGGTTAGGTGAGTAAAATGAGGCCATATTATGGTGGGTCTTCATAACCAGGTCAGTGGCTATTTGTACGTCTCCACTCCTTTGTCCAAGAAAGACATCACTAACCACTCCCTGTCCTTCTCCATACAGCTCTCCAGGCAGCCACTGATAATTGATCAGCTTTGGTCTGCAAGATGAAGTCTATTTTCCATTCTCATCCCAGGCCTATATCTTTCAACTTGATATAGGAAATGGGGAGATACTGTGTGAAGAATAGATGAATGAAGAAGACATGAGTCCCCAAACTTCCTGGTTACCACTGGCTTCAGCCTTTCTTAACCCAATTTTGTTTTCAGCTGAAGCTAGGCATGATAGAGCTAGGCATGATGGAGCTAGGCATGATAGAACTAGAAATCTAGTTCAAGGGCACCTGGGTGGCTCAGTGGGTTGAGTGTCTGACTCTTGATTTCAGCTCAGGTCATGATCTCATGGTTTGTGGGATGGAGCCCTGAGGTGGGCTCTGTACTGACATCATGGAGCCTGCTTGGGATTCTCTTTCTACCTCTCTGCCCCTCTCATGTTTGTGTGCGCTCTCTCTGTCTCTGTTTCTGTCTGTGTCTCTGTCTCTCTCCCTCTCCCTCTCCAACTAAATAAATAAACATTAAAAAAAGAAGAAGAGGGGCGCCTGGGTGGCTTAGTCGGTTAAGCGTCCGACTTTCGCTTGGGTCATGATCTCGCGGTTCGTGGGTTCGAGCCCCGCGTCGGGCTCTGTGCTGACTGCCAGCTCGGAGCCTGGAGCCTGTTTTGGAGTCTGTGATTCCCTCTCTCTCTGGCCCTCCCCTGCTCACGCTGTCTCTCTCTCTCTCTCTCTCTCTCTCTCTCCTAGAAATAAAAAAAAAAAAAAGAAGAAGAAGAAGAAGAGATCCAGGTCAGTCACTAACTTCCCCAGTCTGTGCCTCATTTTCCTCATCTGTAAAATGAAAGGATTAGAATGGATAATGGGATAAGATCTGTCCTGACATAGAATCCTACAGATGCCACAAGGAAGGCAGCCCACTGAGCCTTGCTTGGGCTGCCTCTGGGGAGGAGCTGGAGGGCAGTCTAAACCAGGCCAGCCGGAGGGGAAGAGGAAGCTGAGGTTCTGGCTAACCCCCACACTAAATTAATAGCTTCTGGATAACCGAGAGTTGCTGTCATTAGACACTGTTTGTGTTAGATGATCCATATGGTACAGAACATGACTTAGGCGCCTTGAGGTCTCTCAGTAGGAAACTGATGAAAAACCACATCTGGAAAAAGATTTCTCTAAGGATCAAGGCCAGTGGAAAAATTTTGTATATCGTTGTTTGCTTCCCTCTTGAGCACCATGGCTGGTCTTCAGCTTCATGTGGCCATTTTGGCAGATGTCCCTACCCAAAGAGACTTCACAACAAAGAATCCTTTCTCACTAATGGTGTCCCCTGCTTCCCTGTCTGCCAGCTTCTTTGGCTTCGGAGGGATGCATTTGGTAGACAGGAGACATGTCAGGATGCAGTTATAGCTCCGTGCAAGAAGGCAGGAGAATGTCCCTGTCTTCGTGCGTGGCAATGCACGCTCTGTATCCATGGAGCAGGCTCGGGGTTATTACCGCATCTGCTATCTCGGTATCAAGAAATCAGTTGTTGGGAGCTGGCTTGCCAGTGGCCTGGGTTAAACTTCAAGAATGCAGATAAGGCTGAGAGGCTTGGAGCTGTGGTATTTGGATGTCTAGCTAGGCATTTTCCAGGCCTGGTTTGCCTTAATTCATTAATTTGTTAGTATTCAGGCAGGAACATGGCAAGATTCTGTGCTTACCTCTTGAAATGTGCCTTTTCTCGAGCGTCCTACATGCCCATTCAGGGGCTAAGTACGTGAGGCTCTGTCTGAGGAATTCAACATGACAGGCATGAGGTCTATCTTTCAATTGGGTGGGTTTTTTTTTTTTTAAACCCTTTGACTAATGATTAATAAAATAAACATCCTTTGTCTACTTTCACTTTTATTTTTTAAAGTTTATTAATTTTGAGAGGGGGGGATGAGAGAGAGAGAGCAGGGGAGGGTCAGAGAGGGAGGGAGAGAGAAAATTCCAGGCAGGCTCTGTGGTGACAGAAACTCAGGGCCTAATCCCACAAACCTTGAGGTCATTAACTGAGCCAAGATCGAGAGTTGAATGCTCAACTGATTGAGGCACCCAGGCACCCCTACTTTCACTTTTAAAATTCATCTTGGCAAGAGATGTGGCTAGAAATGATAACAGTAATGGGGGAAAGCATTCCTTACTGACATTGCTTTTAAGGTCTAGGATGCCCAGGGGTCTCTGGCCAGAAATGAGGAGCGTGATTTAAAAGGAGCTGACCTTGGGGTGCCTTAGTCAGTTAAGCGTCTGACTTTAGCTCGGGTCATGATCTCACAGTTCCTGAGTTTGGGCCCCATATCGGGGTCTGCACTGTCAGTGCAGAGCCTGCTTGGGATTTTCTCTCTCTCTCTCTTTCTCTCTCTCTCTCTCCCCCCTCATACCTTCTCTCTCTCTCTCAGAATAAATAAACTTTAAAATAAATAAATAAAAAGAGCTAACCTTGTTTGTCTTCCTGTTTAGGTTTTTTTTTTTTTTACATCCATTCATCCATCCATTAATCAATTTGTCTTTCCTTCTGTCCACCTGCCTATCCATCTATCCATCCATTTAGGTATCTGTCCATCCCTTTACTCATTTTGTTGTTTAACAAACATTGCCTGCACTCAACACTGAGTTTACCAGGGAGAACAAGACAGACCCAACTTCTGTCTCTGCCAGCACAGGGCTGGAGGGGCCCGTGTCTTGGGGGGCATCTGTGTTGGTGGACACTCCTGAGGCGCTGGGTGGCGGGCATAGCTGGTTCTCAGTGTGTATGCACACTGCTTCCTGCACGGTCTCTGATCTTTTAAAAACCACGGAAATTTTTGTTGTGGCCTTGGAGCTTTTGGCTCTACCTTCAGGATTTGTGTATTGAAGTTGGGGAAGAGAAGAATGAACAGAAAGTTGTTGGCCCTGCTGTCTTCCAGTGTGGTGGGGAGAGGCATTGGTCTGGAGCTGTCCAGCTGGGCACTCTGACCTGCCCACACCCAAATGGCTCCTTCTTTCCTTCAGTTGCAGATGATAATATTTACTCTGTCATGTTGTCATTGTGAGGATCGCATGAGATAAAGTCCATCAGTGCTTAGCAGAGGGCTGCCATATTTTAAGACCCCCCACCCCCATCCCCAGAACAGGATATTTTATTCTTATTTAACCTAAAAGTGAGTTGGGACAGAGCTCTTTTGCTTCCATAAAAGTTGCTAGTGGCTGCCAGTAACTAAGATTTGGACTTTATGCATTTTACATTTCTTAGCAAAACTTGGGTTCCTTACCAGGCTTTCACACAATAACAAGCAATCAAGGCAGGGTTTTAAGCAAAGTAATGATTATCTTTCACACAATAACTTACAGACAGGGTCCAATCACTCTGTAATGGACATGAGCATTGTATGTCCATGTGTGTGTGTTTGTGTGTGTGTGTGTGTGTATTTCTGGGTATAAATATGATTCAGTTCCCCTTAAAATTTTACCAAAAGTAGCACTGAATTATATCTGAATATTCTAAACTAGTATGGGTTCTGAGTACTCGGAGGGGGAAAGACAAGGAAGGAATAGAAGACTTTTCTTTCCTTGTAGACCCATGAACGACACAGCTCTGTAAGACAACAAGGAGGAAGAGAAGACCCAGTGGCCTGTGTCTGCTATGCAGAACAGATGCGGGTGTGGCCTGCTTCGGGGCCGAGTGGTTTATGCTGCCCCAGGGCCTAGTTTTCGTCTCTTCAGTGGGGTAGCATTTCCTCTGAGAGGCAGACACTCCACCCCACATGTCAGCATGTGGGGCATGTCAGCATTTGGAACCCCTTCCCCACCTGCACAAATTTTAGGGACAATATGAGCTGGTCTTTATTTTGTGAGAAGCCTCAAGACCCGCCAGAGGTAGACCGGCTGGAGAATGAGCCCATGTGTGGCTCCCCATGGGCCCCAAACTGGGCAGTGCCCTGAGCCAGCCTTCTTCTGTCCCCTCCGCAGTGGCCTCCTTGACCTGCTTCTATTTCTCCCTTTCCCCTTGTTTCCTCCAAGTCCTCAAAACCCCTGAGGGTAGTTGTAGTTTTTCTCTGGGTCCTTCCCACAGTGTGACTATATTAGTTTCCATGGCTACTGTAACAAATTACCACAAAGTCAGTGGATTAAAACAACACACATATTCTATTTCACAGCTTCCATGGTTGAAGAAGCTGGGCATGGCCATGCTCCCTTCGGCAGCATATATACTAAAACTGGAACGATACAGAGAAGATTAGCATGGCCCCTGTGTAAGGATGACATGCAAATTTGTGAAGGAAGCTGGGCATGGCTGAGTTGGGCTTTCTGCTTGGAGTCTCACAACCCTGCAATCAGGACACTGACTGGGCTGTATTCTCATCTGAAGGTTTGACTAGGAAAGACTCCACTTCCAAACTCATTCAGGTTCTCAGGCAGAATACATTTCCTTGCAGCTGTAGGACTGAGGGATCTGACTTCTTGCTGGCTGTCAGAGAGAGGACATTCTCAACTCCTAGAGGAGGGTGCCCGCAATCCCTCCACATGGCAACTTACTTCATCAGGCCAGCAAGGAGAATCTCCAGCCACAGACTCCATGAGCAAGATGTTCTTTTATAAAATGACAAAGTCATGGGTGTGGCATCCATCACCTCTGCCATACTCTACTGGTTAGAAGCAAGTCACAGGTCCTGCCCACACTCAAAGGGAAGGGATTTTACAGGTATGAACACTAGGAGTTGGAGTCATGGGAGCCACTTAAAGTCAGTCCACCACTGTGGACTCCCTATTTCTCATTTTTCAGAAAGTATTTTAATGGCAAAGAAGAGCTGTAAGCTCTTAGCCACTGCTTCAAACCTAGCCCCTTCTAGATGGACTTCTCACCTATTCCTGGCCTCTCGTCTGCAGGACCTGGTCCTCAGCCTCACTTGTCATCCATAGACCGTCTCAGCTGCCATTTTCCTTCCAGTCACCTGCACACAAGACCTGTGATGTAACCTTCAAGTCTCTCCCCTTCTCCCTCAGTCTCACAGTTACTTCCAAGTCCTGTCACTATCAATTCCTAATTGTCTCTCCAGTAAATCTGCTCTCTCTTCTCTTCATTGCTACGGAGACCAGCTTAGTCTGACTGTTCCTTATCTTCCATTAGAACCAGTACAGTAACCCCCAGCCAACCTCTCTGCCTCACCATCACTCCCTCAAATGCATCCTCACATCTCCACCACCATCTCCCTTCTACATTCTTCCTTCTAGCAAATCCAAAACATTGATTGTTTTCCCTCTGCACCAGGCTTTGCTCACCCTGCTGTGTTTCTCTACAATTCTCTTCTCCCACACAATCCCTACCATTTTACCTGTGCAGGAAATCATGCATCAGTCAAAATCTAGCCAGGGTCCTGGGAAGCTTTTCCTGACTACAGACAGACTACTCTCCTAACTCTGTCTTTTGATTTAGTTCTGCTTATTTTTGTTTGTGTTTTTCTTTTGCTTTTGTTTTATATTCGCGTAACTAAATGCACCATGCCTTGCATTTTTGGGGTATTGACAGCTCTCTGCTACAATGCTTGAGGAAAGGAAGTGCCATTTCTTTGTCTTCAAAGCATCAAGTACAGCAATGCAATGCAGAGTTACCAATAAGTGTTGTTGAACTGAGCTAGTATTTCCAAAATTATTTGGCTAGCCTGGGAAATTTGTTAAATACTACATAGTATAGTGACTTTTAAACTTTTTAAGTTTATTTATTTATTTTGAAAGAGACAGAAACAGTACGAGTGGGGGAGGGGGAGAGAGACGGAGAGAAAAAATCCAAAAGCAGACTCCTTGTTGCTATCGCACATCCCAACTCAGGGCTTGAATCACAAAACCGTAAGATTATGACCTAGTCGAAACCAAGAGTCAGACACTTAACTGACTGAGTCACCCAGGCACCCTCCCTCCATAACCTAGTGACTTTTATATTTGGTTTTAGGCTTTTAACCTAAAGCATTTTATTTATTTATTTATTTATTTATTTATTTATGATCGCTTCTCGGCCTTTTGGCTAAGATCAAGAGTATTTATTTATTTATGCACGCTTGTATATTTATTTTTGAGAGAGCGAGAGAGGGAGGGAGGAGTAGGGGGACAGAGAGAGAGAGAGTAGGAGATGGAGAATCCCAAGCAGGCTCTGCACCATCAGCGCTGAGCCCAATGCAAGGCTTGAATTCACAAACTGAGATCAAGAGTCAGGTACCTAACCAACCAAGCCACCCAGGTGCCCCTGACCTACAGCAGTTTAGAATTCAGCCATCAATTTGATGCACTGTTTTTTCTACCTCCTTTCTCCTAATCTTTCCTCAGCTCATTTTCAATGATCAGTTATTATTTTTAATTCTACTATGCTATCAATCTAATATATTAGACAACTATTATATTCTATATTATTAATTATTATTTTCAATTATTAGTAGTTCTCCTCAAAAGAGCTAAACAGGAATGAAGAAACCAGATACATGTTTTTTGACCAGGAGCTTTTATTATTTTTCTTTCCAAGTGTTATCTCGATCTTATGACCACAGAAAGCTTGCCATAATAAAAATACACACTTTTCTGGGCACCCAGATGGCTCAGTTGGTTAAGCATATGACTCGTGATTTTATCTCAGGCTATGATCTCATGGTTGTGAGATCAAGCCCCACATCAGGCTCTGTGCTGACAATGTGGAACTGCTAGGGATTTTGTTTCTCCCATTCTCTCTGCCCCTTCCTCTCTCTTTCTCTCTCTCTCTCTCTCTCTCAAAATAAATAAATAAACATTAAAGCAACAACAACAATGAAAACAAAACACTTTTCAAACAAGTATTTTGTTCAAAAGCAGGCATCCAGACATCCCCATGTCCTGACATTTTCCTTCCCTTCTCCAGACAAGGGGGTCCCAGCAGAAAGGTCTTCATCTCACTGACTCTCCAATGATGCCATCAACTCTTGCTTCTTTTAGTCGCATGACAGCATGGCCCAGAAGCACTGTAACCCTGGGAACTGCCAGCTCCTTGGTAAGGACCGGGCACCTTGGAAGGCATACAGGGCACTCCCCGAGGCACCGTGCATAGCAGTCTGGCTCAGTGTGGGTCCTGGAGCCCAACTACCCACTTCAAGTCCTAGCTCCATTAGTTATAACTCATGTGACCACAAGCAAGTTATTCAGCCCCTCCATGCCTCGATTTCCTCATCTGTAAGAGTGGGCTAATACTAACCACCTTCATATGGTTAGTGAGAGTGTAATAAAATGATGTACATTAAACGCTTAGAACAGAGTCCTTCACATCCTACCATTAGAAGCATTCAACATTTGCTACTATCATTACCCCAGAACTTAGTTTCCACTTTTTTGGAAGGACATCAAATGAGGTTTTCCTATTTTCTGAAATTGCCTCTCCTCAGTTTCAAGATGTGAATTTTTAGAAAGGGCATCAAGATGAAAAAAAAAAAAAAGAATCAGTTGCTCTAATATGACTTTTTCTAGAGAAAAAAAGTTGCTAGTTCTTTCTTTAATCTGCCTCAGTTTCCTAATACGACTTTTTCTAGAGAAAAAAAGTTGCTAGTTCTTTCTTTAATCTGCCTCAGTTTCCATATATAACAGAATGGAAAGTATCTCTTGCTTCTGATATTTCTTTTTAAAAAATCATTCTCCCAGCATTCTAAATGCTTTTCTGAATTAACATATCCTTTCTACCTTCTCAAGCTGGATTGTCTTGATTTAGATTAGCATCTTCAGGCATAGACTGAATCCTTCCATCTGCTGGAGAGCTTGTTCTCGTTTTACCTTTTTCTTCTCTGGCTGGCATTAGGGAACATCTTAACTGACTGGTTTGCATTTCTCCTTCTATAAGGTTCCATGTAGGGACATGTGTGGGAAGAGGTCAGGGTTGAGGACATGTGTTCGCGTCTGGGCTGAGGTGTGGGGGTGAAGACACTCTGACAGTACGCAGTGTGGCAGGCAGAGGACCTGGGAAAAATGAAAGAAAGCATTGGGACAGAGTCCCTTAGAGGTAGAGTCATGGAGCAGCATTGACAGGTGTGTGATTGAGTGCACCAGGCCATTTCTGACACTCTCTGCTCACCTCCCGTTCCCAGGAGGAGGGAGCTGGGGGAAGAGTCTTAATGCTCATGGAGCACTTGATCCACCAACCTTGTGCCCAGTGCCCGGGAGGGCACACTTGTGGACTTCATCTCCCTCCTCAACCCTGAGAAGTTCATGGTATTATCTCTACTTCTCAGATGAGGAAGTTGTGACTTTTCAAAAACTGCACTACTATTAAGGGCCAGAAATGGGTTCAAACACAGGCCCTTGGACAGCAGAGTCTATCCTCCTATATGCAGGACCTTGTAGCCGAAATATAAAGTTTAAAGCTCATGTGCCATTTGATACAAGAGATAGTCAAGCGTGGGAACATGTATCCATGGTGATCCTCTTTCTGGAAGTCTTGGGCCTGTCACTCTTACAGCCCACCAAGATAATTTCCTAAGTACTCGGTAGTTGTTAAAGGAGTTTAAAAAGATCTGTTAGACAACTTTTCCAGGGAAATGTCGTTCAGCTAAAATGATTCAAGATAAGGGTGAGCAGAGGTCAAAATAGACCACCAAGGAGCCAAGAAGCCTGAGGAAATCTGCAAGGAGTCTGAGGTATGAGGAGGGGAAGGGAGACAGATTTAGACTGGGGAAGCCACAGGCAATACCAACACCTACCAGAAAAGTTGAATCGTTTTTGCTTTTGATCCATTCACTTAAAGTCCGAGACTCTCAAGATGCTGGATGGAGAGCAGCTGCTCTGCCAAAAGGGGAGAGAGAACATTCTTCTTCAGTAGGGTTTTTATTCTTCGCTTTCAAATAGGAAGAAACGGGGAGACGGGCTAACTTCACCCCACGTGGTGTGTGCCGCTCGATCCAGAAGCATGGGCCTATATGATGACATGGAAGACGGTGTGTGGAAACATCGTCCTGCCTGAGCCACACACGGATCACACAGCAGCTTCTGGGGTGAAAGGAGCTTCAAGTACCCCTTAGCTGTCAGCAGAGAACAAAAAGTCTTGAAGCCCAGAACTTCCAGGCAAATGTCTCACTCTTATATTTTAAAAAGGCTATTACATTGGTTTTAGCAACTCGCTAAGTTTAGATGATTTCTATTTTATGCGGCAGCTTTGAAGTATGTATATATTTCTACTTACAGTGGAGTCTGTTTATAGAACGACCAAATTGGCCAATGACACTGTGTGTCCATCACGACCAAGAAGCTAAAAGCTTATAGAAGTGTTGATATTTCTGCTCTCAAACTCACGAT